GCAAAAATATGCAAAAATACAGATTTTTGCAAATTTGCACTTATATAATTTTCCTGATGTTATAAATATATTAAGGCTTGAAAACTTGAGAATCACATAAAATCAATCACTACTAATAATAGCAGAAACATGGTTTTAACTTTTCTTTTATTAAACCAAAAGGATAGATATGAAAGAATTAAACATCTTCTATATATAGCTCATACTCTTTAATTAGCTATTGAAAAAGGATTAGCACTAGCAAAAGTTCTAGTTATATGTACAAGAAGATTATTTAGTTTTTTTAATACCAAAAACAAATTGAAAAATTGGAGGAGATACAAGTAAAGCTTGGTTATGTGAATGTTGTTTATTGCATTCAAGATGTGTCTATGTATTGAAACTTAATATTTTTTTAAAGAATATTATTATTCAGCTTCAACCTGATTTATATATATTAGTCTATTTGGATATTAGAAAAGATAATAATAAATTAAAAAACAATTCTACTTTTAGATAATAAATGAGACCAACTTATTGATTTGCTGATACTGTTTGAGAAAGCAACACAAGAGTTCTTAGAAAATACCTATGTAATATTGAGTAAAATCATTCCAACTATTAATGAAATAGTTTTTAATTTAGCAACTAAAACAACATCAAATAATAACTTGTTTTTGGATGAGGATATGGTATTTAGATTGAAGGATAAGGAAATCTAACCTATTGACTTTGACAAAGAAATTATTAGTAACATTACTAAAAAAAAAATTTTAATTTAAATACAACAGATATTTTGAAAGAAGTAAAGCAAAGTATCTACAATACATTAATTTACTATTAGAATAATCATAATGGTCGGCAGCTCTGTTAGATCCCTGTTATAAAAATTTGGATTTTTTAGGCGATGACTCTAAAAAAAAAAAAATTATTCAAAAACTTTATGATAAATATGATGAAATAAATGAACCAGCATCTGAATCACAAATCAATTCAATCCCACCCACCGCAGGATCTTCAGCATGTTCACGCAAAAAATATCATTAACAATGTTAGATAAAAAAGAAAAGAAAAGATGGATTGGTGCCTTATCAACAAGCTTCTGATGAAAACCCAAATTATTTATCATTATCACCAGTATTGGATGCTGAGGACCCCTTGTCTTGGTAGAAAATGCATTCACAAAAATTTTCCAAACTTGCCAAAATTGCTAGAAAATATCTTTCAATACTAGCCATGTTCATATTGAGTGAAAAGGTTATTTTTGGATACTGGTAATCTTTTAGCCCTAAAAGAGTAAACCTGGACACGACTTTAGTTGGCAAATATTATTTTTGAAAAGAAACACAAATAAAATATCAGTCTTTGCACCAGAATGGAGTGAAGAATAATATTAAATAAATCATATAGTAAAATACTGGAATTTTTAAATTTCAAATTTGTTTTTTTATTAATATTAACGATCATCGTATAAGCACAGCCACGCCTTATCTATAAAATCTATAAAAACTGTCCCCTAGCGATAGCCTCATTTTCATTTAACGCTTGTCTTACAGTTACGTTTTGTGTTACATACCTACTGCATAATCGGTAACACAGATGGTACGAAATTCATAGAGGATTTCTTATTTTAATTCGAATTACCAATCCGAATTGAAATCCGAATTATAACCGAATACGTTGAAGCAATTCGAATTTAATCCCAGATAGCCTTTCAAAATAGGATCGAAACACTATTTATCATATAATTTTCAAGAAATTAAGCTAAAATTTGTCTGTATAAGACCATTCAAGAATCTGAAAATTATTAATAAGCATTCAATAAACTTGTGAAAAATATGAATTCGGTCACCTTTCTTATATCAAGAGTTACAACGCAACTTGTGATAAAAATAAATATATAAAGGTAATATTTGTTATCATCAGTTACATCATTGTAACTTATGAAGCATAATCGGAATTATTTGAATTTAAATTATTTCTTTAGACTTGAATAGAACTGATAACTTTTCTCTAGATGTCGATGCGTCATTATATTCTTCCACTAAATCATTTATTTTCGTAAATTTCATTAGAATTAATAATTGCTTCATTTATTATTTGTTTATATCTTTCATCAGATTTAAATAATTCTAATAAAATTTGTTCATTACTTTGCCATTCTGTAAGCTTTTCTACAATTTTAGTTGCGGATGGACGTTTTTTCGGTTCTCTGTCCCAACATTGTTTCATTAAACCAATATAACACGTTTCTGTATCTTCAAAAGCGGCGGTCTTAATTCGTCAAGTATTATATGCACTTGCAAGTGTGATCTAAATGATCTAAATACTTCGCTATAAAATGCAGCTATTGGTATTCCATATAAAATTTCCCACATGATTATACCAAATGAGTAAATGTCTGATGATGTAGTATATGATTTTTCAATCAAAGCTTCAGGACCTAGAAATGGTAAAATTCCACAAATTTTATCTGATTCAATTTTTGAATCTATGTTAATCGATATCGAAAATCGTAAATCTGCAATGTATGCACCACTTATACTTGTAAAATATTGCCACTATGTAAATCTTGATGAATAAGTTTTTGTGAATGGATTACTTGAAGATCAGAAGCAATACAATGCAATAATTTCACTTATTTTTCCATTCTATTTGTGCTATAAAGGAAAGACTTTTACGTAAAAAACCCACATGCATATTCCATAACAATAATATAATCTCTAGAAATATCATGTTTTGATATATCATAACACCTTAAAAATGTTGGATTTTTATTGCCAATATCACAATATGCTTTTAGCTTTGGTATAAAATAATATGTAGTTAATATTTTATTGAATTTCAAACATGTTAGCGCTTAACTTACTTCTTTTTCAAATTCTTCAGAATGTTCTTTCGAGTTATGAATTAATTTAAGCGCAACGGGTAGATCAATTTTTTGGTTTGATCTGACCAATCAGCAATATATACTGTTGCAAATCCACCTTGTCCTATCTTTTCGTTATTTTTAAATTCATTATAAGGAATCAAAGATAATGAATATTCATTTTCAGTTAAGATTTTTTTTATAATGTCATCAATATCTAATCTGTCATATACTATCTTATTAATTGCTGAAGAAGGTAAACTGTTAAATTTAAATCATTTGGTAAATAATAAAGATATTTAATAATGGTATTAACCTGATATTTGGTTTCGTTCCCTAAGCGGAGGGTTTTAAAAAAAAAATTTATAGTTATAAAAAAAGGAATAACAGTATCATAATAACAAGTACTTACATGCGGCACCATTCATCGGCTTTTTGTAAGTCCCTTGTTGCTCCAACTCCATTTCGATAGCAATACCCAACACGACGTATTCCGATAATGTGACCCATCTCTGCTAATTTTTGACAATAAAATAAATGCTTTATGTTCGTCCTTTTCAACTCCAATTCCATATTGATACAAGCTGCTAAGGTTAAGCATTCCACCAGTATGACCCATTTCTGCAGATTTTTGATAATAAATGAATGCCTTATGTTCATCTTTTTCGGCTCCAATTCCATTCGCATAAAAAAATCCAACATTAAATGTTTCTTCATCATGACCCGTTTCTGCAGATTTTTGATAATAAATAAATGCCTTATAATCATCCTTTTCATTTCCTTTTCGATAATAACCAACTTCATATGTTCCTTCAATGTTTCCCACCTCTGCAGATTTTTGATAATAAATGGATGCTTTATATTCATCCTTTTCAACTCCAATTCCATCCCAATAACAGTTACCAAGTACAAATATTCCACTAACATACCCCATTTCTGCAGATTTTTGATAATAAATGAATGCTTTACGTTCATCCTTTTAAATTCCAATTCCATTATGATAACAATAACCTACCATATATGTTCCTTTAATGCTTCCCATCTCTGCAGATTTTTGATAATAAATGAATTCTTTACATTCATCATTTTCACCATCAATTCCTTTTTCATAACAATAACCATCATTAAATGTTCCACTAGCGCTACCCATATCAACAGATTTTTGATAATAAATGAATGTCTTACGTTCATCCTTCTCAACTTCAAATCCGAATTGGTAAAAATCTTCAAGTATAACTTTTCCATCAGAATTACCCATCGAAGAAACCTTTTGACCAATATGAAACAAATCATAATTGCTTGGTAATCCATTTTGATCTGACATTTTTGACATAAAAATTAATAGTATAAATGTCCAAATTCGTATATAAATAAATTTTTTTGCAAGTCTCGTATTTCGCTATATACACGTGTAAAATTAAAAAATACGAATATGTCATATATAATTAAATTACACTTACTGAATTACGCCTCCCGCGGCGTCCTCCTTGGAAGTTTTTTTTTTTTAAAAAAAAATTACGTTCACCTATCGTTGCACGAAATTTAAATTCGATAATTCGCGAGAAAGGGAATGATGATTTTATGCCCACATTTTGGCCAACGTAGTCATTACTGATTTCTACTTGATGGGGATCAAAGCCCTGGACTTTATTATACCTTAGCACAAGTACAAATTTGTTTGTTTGTTAGGTAGTACAAATACTGCAATAAATAAATATACCGACATGTGTCGAAAATAAGGATCGGAACTAGAGGTGGGTTTCATGCGTGCGCATGATTCCTCAATCATGCGCATGAATGCGCATTCATGCGCATGATTCCGAATCATGCGCATTTTATCCCATTAAGATTTTATATAGAAAAATTAAACTATAAAATAGGTATGATAAACATTTTAATAAGTGTTAAATTGATCCGATCTGAATCATAAGATCAAATTTTGATTGTCTATCTAACCAGAATTAGAATTTTTCTATAACACAAATACGAATCTTAATTTATACTAAAATCTTTTATATCCTAATTTGTTATATATATATGTATTACAAAAAATATTGTAAAACATATATATTTGTTGTAAAAAAGACCGTGAAACTGTTATAAAATTTTAAATTCTTTCTAAATTTTTGGTTTTATTAAATTTTCCATATAAATGCCACGAAATCCAGGTTTAGTTTATCTTCATTATGATGATCTTGGTATAGTTCCTCCATTTAAACAACCAAGAGTTAAATGCAAATATTGTCCTCATACTTGTAATAAAGCACTCAACAAATGCAAATCACATTTAAAAAATTGTCCTAAAATTGATAATGAAACTTACCAATCCTATTTTGGTCATTCAAAAATAACATCTTCACAAGTTGCTTCTCATTTATTAATTAATACTTCAAAAAAAACACTACAAAATAGAAATATTAAGAATTTTTTTGACAATATTACAACAAATGAACAAGATAACCTTGAATTCGGATTTGCAGAAGCTGTCTTTCAATGTGGTCTTCCTTTTTCATTTTGTGAACTAGTTCCAATTCAAGCCTGGATTAAAAAATTAAAACCTTCATTTAAATTACCTACAAGAAAAAAAATGGCTAATCAATTA